CCATACACAGTTGAGTTGACGAGCAACGATCAAAAGTCTCTTCCTCCGACCGGAATGGTCGTTCTCGTCCTCACACTGTAAAGCTTGCAACTTTTTAGTATCTGACTTACTGTGAGAAGATGATTGGCCATTCTTCTTGTCCTGCTGCTTGTTCTTCAACTGTGGACAATCAGCCTTGTAGTGTCCAAATTCACCACAATGATGACAACCTTGTCTATAATTCTTCACAAAGAACTTCTGCTTCTTGGACCCCTTTGCATCTGAAGTAGTCACCACCGACTTCAACTTGTAATGCTTGTTCCCATCCTTGTGTCCACGGCAATCATCACGACGATTCTTGACAGAAGGACTCCACGAACGCTTGCGAGACTTGTGCTTGTCATTGTCAAGTCGACGAGCCGCATCAAAGAGCTCCTCCAAACTCTTTGTAGGCTGAGAATGACGCAAGTGTTGCTGCATGCTCTCACTATGTAGGCCATCAATGAAGTAGGACTTGTTCTGATATGGATCCTTCGTTGGAACACGACTAATCAAGCGAGTAAGCTTCTCAATATAATCCCCGAGCGTCATTTTCCCTTGCTAGAAATGGCAAAGTTCTGTACGAGCATTCTCCACGTCGTCATGAGGGGCAAAACGTAAATGGAAAGCAGCCTCAAACTCATCCATGGTAGACACTGGTGGTTTCTTATCTGCAACACGGGACTCTTCAAGCCAATTCCACCATTGAAGACCCGCATCATGCAAAACCACCGGAATAGCCACTAAAGCCTCTGCATCTGGAATTCCTCTAGCAGCCAAGAACTTCTTCACATTGGCTAGCCAAGCGAGACACTCGTCCACACCACCATCACCGGAAAAGGTTGGAATCTTGAGTCGATCTACCAAAGAAGGCTTACTTGGAGCGTTACCCCGTCCAGCCTCGAGTGCCTCAACATGCCCACGCATGGTATCCATCATGCCATGCATCTTGTCTTGCATCTCTTGCTGATTTCGATTAAGGGCTCACAGCTCATGAACCACATCTTGAATAGTCCAAATCTCCGCAGCTTCGTCAGCACCATCGTCGACACCACCATCGACAATAGGATTCCAGTGTTCAGCTTGGTCGGCCATCGTAACTAATCCTCTGATACCAATGTTATGATCCAGCGCAAAAAGACAAAGATCTAATTGCCCTAAATTATGCTATGCCACCTCTTGAGGTTCCTCACCACCCAACCACCCCTGAGCTACCTCAAAAGCTCCACTGCGCCACCGCTCCACTGTGAGCCCTAGGGTAGGTTAAGTCCCTTACCCTAACATGCCTTAATATACCCTTGAGCCTCCCTTTGACCGACGTTGACCATGTAGTCAAAGCTGGCGCCTAACAACCGTCACAAGGAGATCCAAGCTCAGGATAGTTTGACACGAGGAGCGAGGCAATAGAGAAAATGCTGCTCAGTAATTTTCTTTTACTTTGGCGGCGAGACAGCCGCAAGCCTTGGGCTTGCAGCACCAGCCGTCACTTGGAGTAGCTGCAACATAAGAGACTCTTCTCCGTTCTCGGCATAGCCAAGCATCAAGACGTTCCATGAAACAACGTCTTGCGAAACCACCCTGTCAAATATCCACACTTTGTGTACATGTCCATGAGCGTGTTGGTTGTGTAGCTCAGCGAAGCTGCTCTTGGAGAGGATTCTCAAGTGGATATCAAAACGGGGAGTTGAGCTTGACGACCTTCCCGCAGATCTTCTTGATGGCTAGAGCAATTCTACGACACCACGTCGCGATTCTTCATCCCATGGCGTTGAAGATGGATCGCATCATCCAGACTGCTGCATCCATAGCCGCTACGAATGCCTCTTGGTGGATTTGCTCCAGATCTCTGGCACTGCCGCATTCCTTGATCCATGCGATTTGTGCACCTGATCTGAGAATATCGCGGCCGCAGCACTGATCCTCTCCCAAAGCATTTCATTTTTACTAAAAGTCAGATGCATGATATAATAATATAAAAAAATTAAAATAAAACTACACTTTTATTAAAAAAAATTTAAAACTTCGTCAGCTAGGTTTTTTATGATCACAAGTATTTTCAGAATAAAAAAAATTATAGAATTTTTTTAACAAAAAGTAGATTTCATGAATAATTGTTTTTAAAATTCTAATCACTTTTTACCACTTTTGTATTATTCACCCATTTTTTCCTCTAAAACAATTAAATATAAAATTAATTAATATTATTTTCATTTTAACATTTTTTATGTGTATAAGAGTTTTTTGTCTTATGTTTTAAGCAATAAATATTAAAATAAGATGAATCAAAATATAACTTTGTTTATTTGAAAAGCTCTACCATGTTTATATGAATGTAAATGAAAATTAATATACTTTGTTCATTTTAAATTTCATGATTTATGAGTGATAAATTCTTTTAAAGGTTTTATAAAATTTATAAATTGTAACAATTTTTTCAGTTTTATTAATATTTAAAACTTTATTTTAACTTACCATATTACTAATAGGTGATACCAAATTACTAAAGTATAAGTTTTTGAAAAATATTTAAATTATCCAAGAGCAAACTAACAAAGATAAATTTAAAATTAAACATTTATATGATTTAACAATTTTAAAAATTCCACAAATGACACTAATGGCTACATTAAAACTAAAAATAAACAACACTACAGAACCTTTCAAAAATGGAAAGAAAAAATTTATTAAAAACCAAAACAAAAAAAACTTTTATATGTTAATGGATAATTGAATTCCCACTCGAATCTAAAAACCTATTAAATGAATAAACTCAAACAAATATATAATTACTAACATTCACAAATATAACTCTCACTTCTTTGTGAATAAGATATGAAGGTATATATGGTTTTACCTTAATTCACAAACTTGTTTGAGTTTAAAAAATTAATGTTAAATTAAATAATAGAATAAGTTAATTAAATACCTTATAATAAACTCTTGACCTTATTATCAAATCTAAATGTATTTAAAATTTATTCAAATTTGCTATGAACCTTATATTACTTATATGGTTTAAAAGATTTAATTGTTATTAATTTTAGAACTTTAACACCTTTGTTATTGCCATTTGGGCATTATTTCCTTATGTAAAAAATTTAAATTGTTATCATGAAAAATTTAAAACATTCAATATTTTAATGATTTACTTTCAGGTTGAGTAATTATGTTTAATAACTTTTTTTAAATCTTTACAAACTTTTATTTTTAGTTATTAAGTAACACTTAAAATTAAAAGCCATTTATATCTACTTGTGTTATAAAGGGGTTTTTAACTGCTGATAAAAGACTTCCCCTATTTCCTCTGTTTGGTGCTATTGCCCTATCATTTAATGCTATAGCAGTGAAAACTAATGTAATAAGTCAAATAAAATTTGAAATTGTTATGAAACCTAAAAAGTTATCATGGTCATTAAGTTTAAGTAAATCCTTTAAGGAAATTTATCACTCCCATAATGTTTGTTCTGAAATTATAAATTTAAAGTTAATAAAGTTTACCACTTTCTTAATTACATTCATATAAATGTTATATAGCTTTACAAACAATTTTTATATTATGGTTCATTCATTCTTTTTTATGTCTATTTCTTGAACAAAATTAAATATCTCAAACAGAAAATGAGTAGCCCTAAATAAAAAATATATTAAAAACAAAATAAAGTTAATAAAATCTATAAATATATTATACTTTTAGCCCTTTTACCTTTATAATTAAAATTATTATTGTTCTAGTAAAGGAAAAAGGTTAACACACATCTGAATAAATAATTTTAACTAAAATCATTATAGTAAAAAAATAAATTCAATGTGAAATAATTTGTGCTAAGACCAATGAAAGTACATATTTGATTAACTTTCTGTCCTTTAATGATTTGTTAATATAAAGTGATAAAATGCCAATAAAAAATGTGCTCATAAGCCACAATGATTTAATAATTTACAAAAACTTTGAAAATTATTAAATGAACATATTTAATCTAAATTAAATCCATACAAAATTTAATATTTTGATTTTTAATAATAATTTACTTTTTATAAATAATGCTCACCAACTTGTAGAAATTAATAAAAAACCCTATAACAAGTTTGGATGAAATTCTAGATGCATTTGGATTTTATATAAAAATCATGAGTTTGTTGTGAAATATATAACTGACTTGCACTATTATTTAATCTAATATTATTTTTTTTAGCTTAAGGATACAAAACATCTATCTTACATTGTTTTGCTTTAACATCTGTTTTTTTCATCTTGAGGATCAATGCTACTAGAGATGTATTATTTTGTTTTCATACTATGTAATCAGGAGCTAATGTAGTCTTCATCCTAAGTACAAAAAGAAAAAAAAAGACACGCACACACACACACACACAAGACACTCAATAAGTCTCAAGAGAGAAAAAATATAAAGACACAAATCAAACTGTAACACAAAACATGATATCATATGTAGTACTATACATAATATCATATAGTACAATGGTGACTGTTCATCCTGCTCTAGGCAGATTCATTACTTTGCATGCAAGTTGGAACCTCGGAAGTTCTCCATGTTGTGTGCATGATACATTCTAAGACAAATGTTTTCAATGTCGACTGCTACTTGCTCATTCGGGTTCACGCAAGGCCAAAGTCTACCAATTCAAAGCCAATTCAAATAGAATTTGTAGTAGCAATTCAAAGCTACTGGATGCTCTCTTCAAATTACGATTTATAAGTGGCATGGATTGATCTTTTGCCTTTGATGTATATATTTACTCTCCTTTGGAGTGTGTATAATATGAGGACCAGAAAGTCTCGAAATCTATAAACATGGCGTTGGGAAAGTAATTCCAGGGAGAAGTTACATTAGATGATGAGAGCTACTGGTGCTTTTAAGAGTGATTCCATTTGAATGTACTAGATTAACCGCAACTTTGGGGGACGGAGCACGACAAACAATCGCCGAGAGATTGCCAGGAGCAGGACTATTATCCTCTCGTTTTGGAGAGATTCGTAGTGCGTTTGTTCTATTACTTTCAAGCTTTCTCTATGGAGTTCATCATTTCTGGAAACAAGACTTGCAGACGGCTCACGCGGCTGTCCAGGATCGTTAAAACGACCTGCGATTGATTTGTACCTCTATGGAAGAGAGAATGTAACCATGTAAATTTAATCCTGTCCCCTACACCTGTTTGACGTTCCTATCCTCTACCTTCGTTACTTGACCACTTCTGCTTCGAAAAGAGGCCCTTGCAGATGAATCCACATTCCCATGTTGCCCTCCGCCATACAGGAACTATATGGAAAATAAGTCCTTCGCATTGTTGGCCAGCTTGGACAGCATGGTTTCCAAGTTCCAGCACCACCAGCTCCTGGGATAAGCTATGTTCCAGCCCCACCATTTAGCAGCCTGTATCAAGAAAAGACATAAAACGCTGAGAGATTGACAACGAAGAAACAAGGAAATCGAGAAACAATACCTTTTCATCTCGGCCACCCAGCTTGAGAGCACAAGCTTACGGCATTGAGAGATGAGCTTCTTCCAAACACACCAGCCAGTCGAGATAGCGGCTGTCCGAGCCCCGTAAGATAGAAGTCGTTGCTCAAGCACGTTCGTCTCCTTGGTGTGGAGCTTCTTGGGATCTAGCTTCACCTTTTCTCCAGTCACGTTGAGCATCTCGCGCTTGGTTTCCAGCTCCTCCTCCTCCTTCGCGCATCAGGCATTTGAGTTCCAGTTCCTTCAGATCATTCGCTTTGCGTTGCTCGGCGACCGAAGTGTTGAGTCGCTCGACCACTTGAGCTGCATTGAAGTCCTGGAAGCAAAACACGAAAAGAGATTAGCAAGAATAACAGTGAAGCTCAAACTAAGATTGCTAGAAACTCGGGGCTAAGGTTGCTGAAAACCCGGAGATGCTAATGCAGAAAAGTTTGGAGATAGAATGGAAGCAGAAAAACTAAAAAATAAAAGCAACGTAAGATGGAAGCAACTTAGAGACGGAGATGGAAAAACTCAAAGATGAAAGGTTGGCTAGAAATAGCCAAGGAACAAACTCCAAGGAGTGCGAAGAAGCTCTTAAAAATTGATTCACGATTCACGATCGATGCTACTGTGATAACATTTGTAACTGTGTGTGTAGCTTGGAACTCTCCCACTTCTCGCAAGATAGTCCAGTTCTTTCGACGTTAAATTCTGGCTCACAAACCGAGTAAGATTTAGAAAACTGCGAGAAAACTTACCAAGAGCCGAAGGATCGAGAGACGTGGCGAAGGAAAACGCTGGTGGATAACGGAACTACGAAACTTGTCCTCGCAGTTCGCGGTGCTGGTCACCTCCTCGATCATCTGGAACGAGCTGTATCAGCTGCTGCTGCTGCTGGCCGCCGTGATCTTGTTCAGGAGGAGGAGGAGGAGCAATGATCTCTGTGTCCACAGCAAACTCCACCCATTTCTTGGACTTGACGAACATGATCGCCGGGTACAAGACGATCCCCACGGCAGCCACGCCGCAGCTCACAAAGATCGTCCGCATGGAAGCCAGGCACATCACCAGCACCAGGAACGCCGAGGGTGGCAGGCAAAACATCACCACCCCGAGCGTCCCGAGCTGGAGCTTGAACGGCCTGTGGAGATCCGGGCGCTTCACTCGCAGCCAGATGAAAGCCGCGAACTCGAGCAGCATCCCCACGCAGTAGAGAAAGTTGAGCAGCTCCACGATCTCCTGGAAAGTCATCCACGACAGCAGCACCACCCCGGTGGCCGAGCACAAAATCCCCAGGACTGGAGTGCCGTGCTTGGATCGCCTCGCAAAGATCCTAGGGAGCATCCCAATCTCCGCCATGCCCAGGAGCTGGAAAGAGTCGCTGCTCATCTCGGCCTCGAAGAGACCCATGTTGGACAGCGCCGCCGCGGAGTTGATCCACCACTTGAGCCACTGCCCTCCAATCTCCCGGCCGATGTCCGCGAAGTAGCCATCCTCCCAGTCCTCGCGGTGGAGATCCAGCACTCCAGTGCCCGCCAGGAGTGGAATGATATACGAGATCACCACCAAGAGCACTGCCGCGAAGAGAGCTCGAGGAAACGTCTCGCTGGGTCGCTCGATCTCGCCGGCTAGAGTGCTGGCCTTGTCCCAGAAGTTTAGATTCCAGAAGAGGCTGTTGAGGTACCCGCGCCACTGTGTCTCACGGATGCTCACGACGATCCATCGCCGCGGTTTGATCCGCGGAAGAGCTAGAATCCCCATGATCGCGAATGGCAGCAGCGAGAAGAATGCCAAGAGGATGGCCGCCAAGCCGACGATGGTGAGCCCCCTGTAATTCACGAATGTGAGCAGCGCCGTGAGGATCGCGAGCGTGGGGTACCTCGCGGCGGCGGTGGCGAAGACTGGCACCGATCGCTTGATGTAGTCGAGGAAGAGGACCGGGTAGAGCGCATTGTCGATGACGCCGCTCAGCCACTTCCAGAATCCCTCCTGGAATCCCCAGAAGGGGCCAAAGGCGGCCGAGATCCAGAGGACGTAGCCGCCATTGGCTGGAAACGCTGTAGCGAGCTCCGCCGTGATGAGGGCCTCGGGGACGCTCCACAGGAAGGGGAAGATGATGAACCCTAGAATCGCCAGCAGTGGCCCGGCCGCCCTCACGGAATCCTCCACCCCGAACGGCCCGCCGGAGACCTCGTAGAAGATGAGCGCGACGAGAGGGAAGAATGAGAGCTTAGATCGCTGCTGATGCTCGCTTGCCTGGAATCGATTGATCGACGATTCATCCATCCAAGATTTCCTGTTCCAACCTGTGCTGGGACGATCTACATCGGTGGAGATGCTCTGCGAGGCCGCGATCACGGCGGCGGCGCCACTGCCGCCACGGCTCTCGAGCGTGGCGCCTCTTCATCCCAAAACCCTGACCTAAAAGAATATTCACTTTGTTTGAAAAGATTCGCGCGGGAAATTGGTATGATTCCTTCCATGTGACGGGCATGATTCCGCGGTATCTTTTGTTTTCCTCTTGGGGCTCGGGTTCGATCCATCATGGGCTTTTTTCTTCTTTAATGAAATTGGCACCGTTGGATTCACCCGTCATCGCGACTGGACGGGCAGCCGTACACGTACCAAGCGTCGTTCGTACTCGTCGCGCGTTTAAGCATTTTGGTTTTAAACCCTAACTCTTCGTCCTCGTTTCCCCTCTTCCAGTGTGGAGAAGAAAGAGAGGAGCGATCGATCGATCCCAATGCAATGGCGCCTTCCCTTGCACGCTCCTCGGCGACGCTCGCGCTGCTGCTGCTGCTGCTGCTTCTAGCGATCGGCATTGAATCAACATCGCGCGGGGGAGTCAAGAATCCGGTAAGAAAATCCGGAAATCCTCTTCTTTTCTCTCGATCCCTCCCCTCCTCATCGATCGCTCACGAAATATCTCGATCCTGGCAGATTATCACCAGCGACAACAGAAGATTTCTACTCCGGCGCTCCGCGGGATTCTCGACGTCCTTCCACTTGAGCTGCCCGGGCGATGATTGCCGCCAAGCTCCGGGGCACGATGCCTTCGCGGCTTCCGACCGCCTGGTGCCTTCCGGCCCGGATCCTCTGCATCATCGGATCAGAGTCCACAATTGAGGCGCACAGAGGTTCTTCGTTTCCTGCGATCTCATCTTTCCTCTAGAGTAGTATCGTAGTGGCGGCGCGGCATTGCTACTGCTGGAGAAGCCACAAAGCTCTTTTTGCTGCGACAAGTATCGGTTTTGGACAGTTTCTTGAGATGCTGCTCTGGGTGTGAAGGTGGGAATTCGGTGCTCGTCGCGGACAGGGAGAGGGAGAGGGAGAGAGTGAGAAGTTAATTGCGGCTGTCGCGCAGGCAGCCACCTCTCTTCCTTTTGGAGCTGCTGCTCATCAATGGCACCGAATTTCCCCAAAGCAAGCTCCTTTCTTCCTGGCTAACTTTTCCTTTTGCTTTGTTTCTCTCTTTTCTTGGCAGAGCCGCATTACAGAGTTCTAGGCAACGTGAATGCTGTCTGATCCAGGTACTCTGACAATGTTCTTCTCCTTGACATGATTCTTCCACTGTTTTGTCAGACCCCAGAGCGTGATCCCAGCTGATCAAAATATGTTCTTCGACTGGTCCAAAGCCAGAGCAACTTGGTTCTTTCAGGTACTGTGAATCGATTCACTTAGACGCAGGTGTCTACCTAGAGCAGAGAGTTCCTTTGCTTTGGTCTATAGGTGCGTTTGTTTCTTTCCATTTGTTCCTTGTGCGCTCGTCAGTATAGACTACCAGCTAGTAACCATCCATCCAGTGCCTCTGCTGATAGAAAAAGGAAGAAAAATTTGTCTATCCTCTCCTTTTCCAGTGATAGTGTCGGGACAATGAGAGTGTGAAGGGAATGTGTCTTTAGCTGTTTTATTCGTTGTCTGTTGGAATCCACATGTGACAAACCATGGGCGATAGAAAATCTATTTCCTTGATATTTGGCTAACAAACTCTCATTGTTACTCGCAGGCCTGGCCAGCCATATCCATGGATTAAGCTTTGCAGATCGAGATGGAGCCAGGGAAGAAAATATCGAGAAGGGCCGTGTCCTTGCTAAAGGTTCCAATCTAAACCACGCTCCGGGAAGATCCAGGTACTAAACGTGGGTATCTTATCTTATATTCTCTCGCAGAGGTTCTTTCTTGTTAGCGGCACGGAGCCAAAAGTTTCTCTCCGTCCGTACGCCAAGGACACGCCTATTGAAGGCAACCACATGGGCTATAAAAATGCGATAGGTACTACCATTGATGGAGATGATCAGAAGCGCTTCTTCTCTTCTCTTCTCCGAGCATCTTGTATTTATGAATGGAACGCGAATATGCGTTTCCACCATTTAAAACTTGCCTGACCGTGCGTTGGTTCCCATGAGAAAATCTTTTTCAAAATAGAAATAGAATTTTAGAAATGATGGATCATGTGAAATTTCACACAACATTAGCATTAGCGGGGATTATAGGACGGGCGAGATGCGGATTTTCGTGAAGGTTGGGGTAATGGTTGACAAGTGGAATTTCAAACATGGGATGGGAGAGGCATCACAAGATCATCAAAACGGTTTACTATAATCCGTCAGTCTCATGCTTCTTGGTGGGCACCGCAAAACCCAGCTAACGAATGAATGAATGAAATGCAAACACCTCTCCACTTTAGAGATTCATGAAACTTATCTTCCAGCTTTCCAATCAAGCTAAGCCATTGGTGAAATCAAATATCTCTTGGCCTGCTAAGAATGGTACTTGGTGCTTTTCAGCCCAGAATCTGGCATCCTGAGGTGGAAGGGCTCCAAAGTCATCACCCTCATTACACAGCATCACACAGCCAACCTAGAAGGATCAGTTAGCATCTAGAAATTACAGGAATATCAATCAGAGGAAAAAGAATCATACAAAGCTAACAGAATTAAAACGGTCAAAGAAAAAAGGAAAAAGGAAAGAAAAAGAGAAAAGCTTGAGAGAAAACATGCAAGTTAGCATCTTAATATCATAGAAAGCACAGGAATATCAATCAGAGCAAAAAGAATCATACAAAGCTAACAGATGATTACAACAGTCAGGAAAAATAATAGAGAGAAAAAGCTTACCATGAGAGGAGAGATCCCTGCTGCTTTTGCACTCCACACAGAGAAAAATATGGCCTGGAGCATGAAATTCTCTCCCAAATGCCTCTTGGGCACTTGTAAGAGGCTTGACAATACCACCATTGCCATTGGAGGCACAGCTGTGCTCGCGCCACAGGCCAGCCAGGCGGCGACACGTGTAGCTCCTCTCCACGTCGGACGCCCCAGTCTTGAGGCTCCTGTGGTCCAAAGAGATTCCAACCGAGCATGAGCCCTGGCACATTGCCGTACCTTTGGCACTGCACTGCAGCACGGGGTGGGAATGGGCCATGGCCAGCACCTGACCCATGTACGGCAACCCGAACGTCGTGGCCACCTCGCTGCCGATGGCGATGTAGAGCTCGCCCCCGGCCTGCGTACGGAGCGTACGGAGCGCGCCCGGCGAGGCTCCGAGTCGAGAATGGCGACGCATTTGCCACTGGCCAGAGCTTCCAGTGCCTGGCGGATGATCGAGGACGGTGGCATTGCTCGCGTGATGCTGGGAGAGAACTTTAAAACCAAAGGAATGGAATCACTTACAAACTTTTCGAAGAAACCAATGTAGAAGCTCGAGAAGCTAAAAAACGGGAGAGAAGAAGAGACCTGAGAAAAGGAGCAAGCGTTAGATATTTTGAAGAAACCACGAAACGATTATAAAGGGGAAGAGAGCCATACCTTGTTTGTCTTTGTCTCGCAGGCGCTGGTTGAAACAAGACAAAGAATTATCTGCAAGCGCACGAATCTTAAAGGCCCAGAGCGCTCGAGCTGCTGCGAGTGGTCTTTCGCTGACACCGATAATAATGGAGTGTATCATAAGTAGTCGTCGGCCTCGGAGAAATACGGTTGGAACATTTCCTCCTCCCAACAGTGGTCTGCTATAACTTTGTAAACTTCCATGAGGAGCTTCGGAAATCTAGTCCGGAAGTAGCTCTCGTAGCCTTGAGGAATGCTTCCTAGTATTTGCTGAAAAGAAACCAAAAAGAACTCAGCACTTCGGTAGAAGAAGAGAAGTAAACCTTGGGAGAAAAGAGTTACCTGTACATCGGCAGGAAGCTCCCTGTAATGGTTCGCCTTGTTACGAATGACCCTGAGTAAATCCCGCACGGCCTGATAGTTATATTGCCTGTAGCGGCCGAGGTTGTTGATGAGTAAAGGGTCCAGCTTCTCATCCCATGCGCCGCCCAACGCAGTCGGAGCCACGGCCTCCAGCGCAGTCAGTACCGCCGAGCTGGCTTCTCTATCCTCGCGTTCGACACGATCGCTAGCAGTGATGAGAAACTGCAAGCGCTGTTGCGGGGGCCAGAAAAATGGATGAAGCTTTACTTGCATAGAAGTTGGTCTGTGTAAAACAGAAAGGATTAAGATCAGAAATATATCCAAAGATTGTGCTGTACCTGTCTTTGGGATCCATGGCAAGCAAACTTGAAATGATGTCGATAGCTTCTGGATAGTGATCTACAGCAAAGAGATCCATTTTACCAGACACAATGTTCATGTCACGCTCCAGTCGGCCTCCAAATGGATGCTGTCCGCCAGTGATGCAGAAGTAAAGTAGGCAACCAACGCTGAACATATCCACAGCTCGAGTTTGCCGCTCGCCCTGGATTTGTTCGGGTGCTTGCCAGCCGGAACTGCCCATACCTGTTTAAACGTACGTAAAATCTTTCTCTTTCTTTTGTTTTTGGCAAATAGAATCGTACCAGTAGTAAGCTTGTCAATGCCTGACGCTCCATCATTCAACCGCTTACTGATTCCCATATCGGATATTTTTGCGCTCAGAAAAGTGCCACTCCGAAGAATCAAGACGTTTTGAGGCTTCAAGTCTCGATGAACATAGCCGAGCTTGTGAAGATGAACGAGTCCTTCCAAAACATCTCTGTAATGAAAAGCGAACAAGAAAATAGTACGTGAGCCAGCAACAAGAAAACTACCTCATCAGTCTCATGAGCAACGGGCTTGGAAGGCAGGACCTATCCCACAAGGTGAGCTTTTGCTGCAAAATTTCCTGGAGTTCTTTCTCCTCGAACTCGTTTACTTCAGTTCGATTGTCTGCGCCAGCAGCGTGCACGAGAATAAATGTTTCCAGGTTAAAGCTGCATCTCTCCAGAGCTATATAGACGAAGTCGTTGTCCTGCTCCATTGAGTAGTACCGCACCACATTTGGATGAGTATCCAGCTCGATGAGAGCAGCTATTTCCTTCGAGGCTTTGTGGTAAAAGCCGCTAAGTATCGACTTCACAGCTACCTGCCTCTGATCCAGCTTGCCTTCGAGAATCCTGGTGCCATGGCTTCCGTAACCGATGACTATCTTAGAGATCGTCAAGCTCCCAATTCTTCCATCTGCATCCTGCTTTTTCGGTTGATCCACTTTCGCATCATCCACCTGTTTACTAACGTTTTCTTGAGAGGCTCGATCACCCTTCGGACCTCTGCGTTTCTTCCGCTTTTGCTGCTGCTCCTTTTCCTTCTTCTGCTTTTCTTTCTGTCCAAAGTGTAGCACTCCTTTCAGCACCAGAGTTACCACAGCCAGACATGCAAGCAGTGCACCGAAAAGCCACCCAACTGGAAAGCTTCCCCTGCCGCTGTTGGTGCTGTTTCTGGGATTGGATCCGCTAGGAAGTGCCAGAATCGCATTTGAAGGAGCCGAGACTGGAGGTAAGGTGTGGTTCTTGACAAGGTAGTCGAGGTAATACGGTGGCTCCACGATAATCGGTGTGAATTTCGTGCCTTGAAACTTGCGCTTGGATGGCTTTCCATCAGAGACAAGCAAAGTCAAGCTGG